CATTACTGATTAAAAACTATTTTTATATAAACAACTATTCTAAAATGCTAACTATGCAAAATGGAATATTTTATATATTGTCTATTAGTATGGGTGATATAACTCGTGTAAAATTAGGAAGAAACCCCCGCGCCTACTAATAGTGCGATTGAACATGATTGTGATCTGCTACCAAATTACAGTGAAGCAAGGCTTCAAGATTTTTCTATAAGCACTCTATTTTTAACTCCAACTACCCCAAAGGAAATAACAGAAATTATACAGAAAACAACTTGTAAAAAATCTGCCAACAATATTGTCTTTTATTGCTGAAGATATTAGTGTACCTATGTCTTACCTTATAAACGATTATTTTTTATGTGGTGACTATCCTAGCAAATTAAAAAATCAAAATCCATTCTTATATATAAAAATAAAGGGTCTGTCAATGATATGGCAAACTATAGGAACATCTGCATTCAAAGTCAACTGGCTAAAGTATTCGAAATGGCCTATAATAACAGGTTCATTAAATTTCTAAAACATAATAGACCTTTGAGTAAATTTCAATATGGTTTTCGCAGAAATAAGTCAACATCTAATGCTATAGGGGAGTTATGCGATTTTGTTTACACATCTTTAAATAACAAGAAATTAAATATTACCTTATACTTCGACCTCTCACGAGCCTTTGATTTAATTGATCATCGACTGCTAGTAGATAAATTGTACCGAATAGGTATAAGGGGCTCGCCAAATAAATGGATAAAGTCATATTTAAACAACCGTGAACAAGTTGTAACCATCAGATGCAGTAAATCAAATAGTCGAAGTGTGATAACGGGAGTTCCGCAGGGCTCAATATTGGACCCTGTTTTATTTTTAGTTTTTATTAATGACTTAGCTCTATTTTGTAAAAGTCAAAGTACCAAAATTATATATGCAAATGACACAACTTTTGGAACATCAGCAAAAATGCATCTGAACTTCAATATATTGCTAATAGTGCTGCACATGAATTGTATAGTTATTGTATTTCACACTTCTTAAATGTTAATGTAAAAAAATCTGAAATCATGACCTTTCTACCAAAAAAAAATAACAAACGACTTCAGCTATCTCATTAAACTAAAATCAATCACTGATACAAATTCGAGCAAATTCTTAGGTCTAATACTGGACAGCAAGTTAATGTGGGAGAACCATGTAGATCATGTATCAAATAAACTAAGTAGTGTATGTTTTCTAATGAGGCAATTAAAAAACACTGTAAATCCCGATGTTTTAAAATTAACATATTTTGGTTTGGCTGAATCAATTTCTAATACAGTCTAATTTTTTGGGGCTGCTCAGCTCATTTGGAGCGAACCTTCTGTATACAAAAAAAAGTTATAAGATGCATGGCTAGGGTTTCAAGAAAAACTAGCTGCAAACAATTTTTCATGACTTTAAAATTCTAACACTTCCATCTTTGTTTATATGTTACGGTCAAAGATGATATTTCGGTCTTTAACGATATTGGCCGGTCATTTTCGTAAATCTCCTATTTGATTGGGCATTCTGCTAACGTTAGTGTCCGGTCAATATCGTCAGTGCCAATTTACAACACTGCCCATAACATATATACTTATTAATACTTAATATAAAAAAACTATCAGATTATAGACACTCACACAATTATAACACAGGCAATAACAAATATCTACAGCAGTCTTTCTCTAGACTCTCAGTTGGACAGAATTCCGAAATATACAGAGATGTTGCATGTTTTAATAGATATACTCAAGTCAATGGTAATGAAAAAAATCTTTAATGTATTCAAAAATAAGCTTTATGCATATCTATCGTCCAAAACTTTGAAAATATACGTACTATCAAAGTTGCAGCAGCTGATCCATTTGTTGACTTAAAAGTTGATATAACTTTTAAACTATTGGAGATGCGACAATACACATTCAAGTCATTTTTGTAGGCATTGAAATTATCTCTCAGATACGTCATTTGTCAATTCCGTACCTATTGTCAATTTGTTGTTTTTTATATTTGTTTATAAAAATTGATTTTTTAAGTTTAATAAAAAATGGAATAAAAAGTCGTTTTTGGAATTTTTATTTCTTTCAGAAAAAAAATAAACCAAAGTTGGGAATTGTTAACTTAATAAACAATGGACTTATTAATGAAACATTTTTTTGCTGTCACTTTGTAGAGGACTGTCAATTATGATTAAAAAAAAAAACACATTTCTTAACTAATAATTTAAACAATAGATATATTAAAAAAATGATTATAAACAATTAAAAGTTATTATTAAAAAAATTTTTTTTTTTAAATCATAATTGGCAATTGTCTAGAAAGATGTAAAAAAAATATTTGAAAAAAATTGAAATACTCCATTTGTTTATAAAAAATTTATAAACAAATGGAGGAAAAAAAATTTTTTTAATTAATAAATGTCTTCTCGACATTAAAACAGTAATATTATAATAAAAATTTTTATAGCACCACTGTGACTTTTCTGTTTTTATAAACTTTAAAAAATTATTATAAACAAAGTATTAACATTTTTTAAACTTTTATGAAGCTATTTTGTTTTATATGTATATAAAAAGAACTCCACGAACCAAAAAAAATTACGGTAATTATTTAATATTTTTATCAATTTGTAATGATGAGAGAAATTCTAAAAATTTTGTTAATTAACAATAACCTACTTTGTTGGAAAATTAATTTTTATGAAAAATTCCAACGGGAATGAATTCTTCTAAGTGGTTAGAATACACGGTAATTTTTTTAAATTTTTGAATTTAATTTTATTAACTTAAAAAAATTATTTTATGTATCGTACTCGGTTTCGACGCCGTGCGCGCAACCTAAAAATGGCGCGCGGAAGGTTACTTTGAGCGTTAAATGCGCTAGTTCAGTGATGATGTAATTATGGTTCCACTGACAATAAAAGTGAGAGTAGATTTTTTTTGAGTGCGTTTTGTTCGTTTTGTTTACCTAAATTATATCGTTTTTTTTTTTCACTTTTATAAATATATTCCTAAAGTAGATAGCATGTATCAAATATACAATCGTTTAGTTACCAATTACATACCTTTAAACTATTTTTTATGATCTGTAAACAATATTTTGAAATAAAATAAAAACAGTAAAAACGTATATGTCAAATTTATTGATGTTTTTGTTAAAAGTTTGGTTAGAATTAAATGTCAGTGGAACCAAAATGACATCACACTGAACTAGCGCATTAAAATTATAAATAATAGAGGTACAGTTCCGGGAGTCAGAACTTATTTATAGCAAATTTCCTCCTCTTTAAGGATTTTTTTTTTGAAAAATCCAAAAATATTTATAGTTTACAAACTATAGGCGAAAAACCAAACACCATGTTTTTGAGGTGTTTTATTGTTTATAACTTTTGCAATTTTTTATGCACTGCAAAATTTTTCTTCACACATTGATGTAGACATTATTCCGAATCGAGTGAGCTATTGAACATAATTTTCGTAATAGTATGTCCCAAAAACACGCTTTTGAACTTGTTGATTAGACTACAAGAAGGTCCAGTCAATAAAAGATATTTGTTCAAACATTTGTGTTATACTGAGAAGACCACCTTTATAATAAATTCCTCTTTTAAACTTCCCACCAGTTTATCACTTATACCACTGTGCTAAATTGGTTGCCTATAATAAAATCTATCTAGTATTATTTACGGAAGTTACTGGTGTTATTTTTGAAATCTGTTTCATTCTAAGAAATGATGTTCATATAAACACATTTAATATTTTTCTACAGATCACTGTTTTGTATATGGTATTCTGGTATGACCACAGAGCTCTAAACTACTTCTTTGAGATGTGCAGTACAACTGCAAATGTTAGCATCTTACAATTGTTTTGAAATGTTCTATGCAAAAAAATAAGAAAAACGGTCTACTTTTTATTTCAGAATATTTAATTTTTAATTAGTTTATGTTCCCACTGGTATCATGAGAATACCACATCTTGCAGGACGTACTGCAGGATCAGGATTGTTTGTTTTGTTGTAATTTTTTTTAAAAATGTACAATAATAAATTTATTTTGCAAAAATCTCGTTTCGTTTTTTAAAATTAAAATTGGACCGCAAAGGGTTAAACAAAGTGAGGTAGATATCTAGAGTAGAAGGAAATATGGGTAAAGATTCAGGATAGATGGAACAACATAACATAATGCAAAGCATCTTAGCAAAATATTTCATTTATTTACATATTATTTTTGACTATGTACCTATATCTTAATTATATAAGAAACACATTTTCCATAGATTATAAGAAAACTAATTAACTCTTTTAAGTAAATGCATTTTTTAGAAATTTCTCAATAGTCCTTAAAAACACAATGTTTATTTTAAATATGCCACAGACCCTGTCTTACAGGTTCCAACAAATTTATTTTCTCATTAAATTTGAAGAGGGGATACCTATTATTTAAAATAATCCGAAACTACTAAAAAATAGTATTTTATATTAAAATTAACTGTTATTTCAATTTAATTATCAATTCAGTAATATTTAATTGAGATTGATAATTATTTAAATTTAAGCTCATTCTATATTATACTTCTGACAAACTTCAGTCTACGAATAATTTCAAAATTACAAAAATATAATTTTTGCTAAAACACTGCAGTAAACAATTATTTATATTAGTGCTGTAATTATTATTTAATGGATTTTATTTATCATTGCTCATTATCTTATTTTTTTAGTTAGCATATATGATTACAGGCGCCATAATAAACAACAAATAATCTTTGAAATGGTGGTTGTTGATCACCAGTCTTGTACTATAAAAGTCTAATTTGATTAATCCACACAAGACATGCAAATTACTAGTTCTAATTATTTTCATAACTTTGTTTTTTGTATGCCATATGTGCCTTTTACGCCCCCATTCATCGATTCATTTTTGTATTTTAAAATCTTCAATGTAACATGTTACTCTAAATTGGTTTATATTTTTTTATATTACGTACCTTTTCCTTTTTTCAATCTTCCCTTCTTTGAACTTGGCTTTGAAATCAAAAGACTTGTCCACTGAAAACTATTTACAGATGACAACGAAGGTGATCTTGATCTATTATCGTTCCTCTCCATAACGAGAGAACTATTAAGAGGTGTAGCAGGTGTTGTTGGCGAATCTTCACTACTAGCAGCAGCCATATTTTAATCCTTTATTTAATAATTGTGGTTAAAAAATTACATATTTTAATTATTCTTATTGATATCTGGTATACATTTCATATATGTACATTTAACCCTGACAAGAACTGTCAGTGTCAAGTGTCAAAACACGAACAAACAACAAACTGTCGGCAATGTTGCCAGAATTAAGAAACAGTTTATAATAATACATAATTTAACTGAAACGAACCTTACCTCTCCAAAACCAAAGTTCAGTAATGTACTAATATGTGTTCGTGTTCTTTTAATTTACCACTAAGCAACTATCATGGAGCAAAAATAATAAATGTAATACAATTGTAGTACACTGGCAACACTGCTGTCAGGTGTCGTGTATCAGTATTTTTTACGTTGTGTCTAGGCTTATGGCACCGTAAGCGGAAAGAATTCGTGATTCAAGCCAATTGATACACCCTCTGGAGGAAATTTGTAGAAGGTGTGTCTATAAGTACATAAGTAGGACTTTGTTCAGGTTGTGTATATCAATTTAGTTTGAAAATCAATTCATTACTTGACAACACTGACGTTCGTGTTCGCTGTTTTCATTTTTAACCGACTTCAAAAAAGGAGGAGGTTCTCAATTCGTCGCAATATTTTTAATGTATGTTTAGCGATAATTCTTTAACACGGTGTCCGATTTCAATGATTCTTGTTTTGTTAGAAAGGGGGTACATCAGGGGTAGTCCCATATAAATTTGGTCAAAATCTAATAATTGAGTCCATGAGAAAATCCTCAAACTCTTCATTTTTTATGTATGTTTAGCGATAATGCTTCATCACCACCTTGTCCGATTTATATAATTCTTTTTTGTTAGTAAGGGGGTACCTCAGGGGTGGTTCCATATAAATTTGGTTAAGATGTGGTGATGGCATCTGCACGATTTTGAAGTCGGTTTTTTTTAATTTTTAATTGTAATTTGTATGATTATAATTCGAATTTTGTGAGCATTAAATTTGTTTATACCGTTTGCATGTATACAAAGTATTACACCATTCACTTCATAATATAAGAATAAGGATAGTAAGATTTTTAATTAAGTTTATCAATTATAAGGTGAACGACGTACGAACCGCGGCGGATGGCGATAGCGCGGATGATTTGTATAGGAATAAATGCAGAAAACGCACTGGCATCTGCGCAGTTACGCGAAAATTAATATGAATCGCGAATTCAATTTATCTGTGGCGTGAGTTCAACTAGTTTTTTATCTTCTTCGGCTTACGGATCCGTAAGTCTAGACACAGTGTAATTTTTATATTCGATCATTTCGCCAGATAGTTTTCTGTGGTATTTAAGAAACAGGTATTTCCTATTCGAATATAGATGTCGCAGTTCTAAATTTATTAATTTTTATATTTTTAAGAAACATGATTGTGAATATCGCATGCATTCTAAACACAATAACATAAAGTATATTTTATAAAGAAATAATACATTATAAATTTAAATATTAATCTAATTAAAAAATCCGTCGAAAACTCGAGGTAGGACAAAAAAAACAATATGAAATTTAAAATTTAGGTAGGTACAATCATAGATTATGGGTACAATGGTGTGTCCGAGCTGCAACCAAATGGAAGATTGCCTTTACATGTATCAGATTTTTGTATATAGAAGAGTATTTAATCTATTTTTAAAAATGTAGAAACATCTTAGCTTTACTAAAGATTTAACAAGTTATTTAGGTAAAATATAAACATCAATATCAAATAATTCATAATACAGGTCCGTACTATAGTAATTATCCATACATCACAAACATTTCGGAAATATTTCAAAAATATTACATTGCAACATTTGTAATGTATAAATATTACGTAACATCCCAGAAACATTTCTGGGTAATGTTGTAGTTGAAGGGTCTAGAAATGCGCATATTCACACCACTCTGCACGACGTCCAGAATTTGAATTTGCTCAAGCCACGTTGCCAAATCTCTACTTTTATTTTAGCTTGCTTTATTTCATAGTTTATTATTTAGACAAATTGTAACCTCTGTAAATTAAAATGTAGGTATGATAAATAAATATAAAGATTTATATTATATTTTGAAATAACAATTCTGTTTTGTTTTATAAGACAGTTTTGATAGATTTTAAATTTAAATTTTGTAATTATCACTATTAAAAGGTATTATTGACATTAAAAATAACGATCGTATTACTTGAAAATCTTTAGAATTTTTTTATTTTTATGGGATTTTTAATCGATGTAAAAATTGGTAAATAGATGATAAAAGTAAAATAGTTATTTCAATCTGCTTATTCCCTGGTTCCAAATAATTAAATATAACCTGGCAACTATGTAAGGATTCCAACTGACAGAACTAGACGGAACAGCAATGGTGCGGACTGGCGCATTTCCAGACCCTTCAACTACAACATTACCCATTTCTGAGTTGTGCCTGAAACATAAAAATGTCCTGTAAATATATTATTTCACAGTAATATTTCTGAAATAAAAATTTGAAACCTTTTAGAAATATTAAATAGTAATATTTTAGAAATGTATTCTAGCTTTTTTTCTAATTAGACTAAAAAAAAGACATTTATAAATATACTTGTTTATTTAAAATACACAAAACTCAAACATTGATTCTTAATCAAACAAATAAATAATTTTTTTAACATTATTTCATAAAATATAAAGGTGAATCGTTTCATTTCCACAAATTCCTTTAAATGCACTAATCTGAAACAAATAGTTTTTTTTTTTAATAAATGTCCCCCGTAAAGAAACATTTACGATTATTACAATCAATCAATCAATTAGCAATTTTATTCTAATCTAACTCAAACACACCAAATCCCAGAGATATCCACAGAATATATTTTGTGGATATCCAATATATCCACCGGATATCATAGATATCGCGTGGATCTAATATGGATATCCAAATGTCCGTCTATATACAGGATATAGAAGATATCCTATGGATATCCAGCAAAATATCTAATAGGTATCTCCCAGAAAATACACGAAATTCCAGAGATATCCACAGAATATATTTTGTGGATATCCAATATATCCACAGAATATCATAGATATCCAGTGGATCTAATATGGATATCCAAATGTTCGTCTATATCCAGGATATAGAATATATTCTATGGATATCCAGCAAAATATCTAATGAGTACCTTTAGTAGAGGTTCATAAGTATATACATCCATGATATATTTAAGATATCGAAAATTATATGCGTGTAGGGTGTCGTATTTAATGCTTCATTAATTTTTTTTTAAAGATAAGGAACAATGTACTGCATAATCTAAAAACATTCCATATGAAGAAAATCAGCATTTCAGTAGCATATCATCGGAACGCCCTGTATTTTTAATTTGGTATATACACCCAAAGTTTACTATTCTAGTGTTAACTATTTTTAATGCTACACAGTATAGATATAGCATGTAGAGTAGAAAGAGTATCAACATTTTATTTTTACAATGAAATATTGTACACCATAGCTTTGTCCCAACATCTCACAAAACCGTAATATTACGGTCATCGTCATGCGCAGTAAATAAAAACCGTTCGACTTTGGGCTTTATTGATAGGTTTTTATTTACTGCGCATGACGATGACCGTAATATTACGGTTTTGTGAGATGTTGGGACAAAGCTCATATCTAAAAAACCACCAAAATATCATTGAATGTGTGAAGTAGGTTCGTTTTAAACTGAATTCAATGCACGAGTTATCTAACATATAACCATCTTACAAATAAATCTTATTCTTTATTGTTGTAATATTAAGAATAGTTAGGTAAAACAAAGACAAATATTATGAGCAGGCTAAATATATTTAAAAAAAGTAAACTATGGTATAAAAATACTATTATATTAAATAACATATTACATTTAAGCTGACAAATGAACATAGTACCCGCAGCCAAGGAAAACCTAAACCTAATCACACATACACATTATATTTGCGCCGTAATACTGGAATTTTCTTCTTGAAAAAAAAAAGACGCTCTGTTGTAGAATTCCTCAAAAATTGAAACTATATCTTAAATCAAGCTATACCCAAAACAAAAATGAAGTCTAAAAAAAGCTTTTTGTGCAGAGTGTCACTTATACAATATATAACACTAACTAATAATTTAAAAGGGCTGGATCTGTGTATATATTATACTTATTTATCTAAAATATAATCCGTTGGTCCAGCTAAACATAACCTAACCTTACTTGTTAAATTCTTCATGCATGCTATTGAATACAAGGCAGATAATATTACCTTAATCAGTGAAAAAATACTTCTTTCTAATTAATTGTAGCGACTATTAAACAATAAAAACCAAACCGAATCACCAACAATAATAATCACACGAAATAAGTATAGGTATATGAAGGTAGGTAAAATAACATCCATCTTAATTATAATCCCAGACAGCACACCAAATCCTTTGGATATCTACTGGACATGCCAATATCCACTAAATGTCCAGTCCATGGTGGATATCTATTTTATATCCATGAAATGTAATTTATAGACATGCAAATGTCCATAAATAATAGTAATTATATAGCAAATTATTAAAAAATTACGCCATTGTGCTCGCCATTATGGCTAATAGTACCGTTCAGATATTTAAAATTAATTTTTTTAAGGTGTATTCAATATCCCATGGACATCCACTAAATATATCAAAGTCTAGGTACGAACGCAAACCATGGTGAATATCCACTAGATATAATTTTTGATTTTGCTTACTAAATATAGATGGCGATACCACTTTCGCTCTTTGAATATCTACTCATGCTCAACCCGCCGTAATTGAGTTCGATCGAAATTGGTATCACAATCAGACTCCATTAGAGACTGGAGTCGAGAATTTCCATATATTGCTGAAGAGTCCTAATAAGTATGACTTTCTCCTTAGTGGGCAACATCAAGGGCAGAGTGTTGAAAATATTTTGAGTATTGAAAATATTTTTTACCTCTGCTATTTTCTTTCGACGTTATTCAATAATCATTGGTTACTTATGAACCTTTACTAAAGATACCCATAAAATATTTTGCTGAATATCCGAATATCTTCTATATCCTGGAATATAGACGGACATTTGGATATCCATATTAGATCCACGGGATATTTCTG